TAAAATAAGGTAGCATTGTAATATTAACTTATCTATTGTCCCTTATATCTTATATCTTTTAAGACAGAAGACAGACCCAAAATAATGTCCTCACCTGAATCAGGTCTAGAATACCAAGCTCGCTCTCTGAGGAGTCGACACAGAACACGAAGTATAGGGTCGCATAGTGTCTGTATATCAACTTGTAGTCGGAGCCGCCTATTAAACTGTAAATAGAAGAAATATATTCGTGAATCAGCTGAAGCCTGAAATTGTGTTTATTGATGTTATGACGAGTAATCAAGTAAGAAACTTAAAAAAAAAATACAGTCGAATTGAGAAACTCCTCTTTTTTTTTTGAAGTCGTTTGAAAAGAAACTTAAGTGTGGGAGCCTCGGCTGGAGTGATACCACGGCCTCAGAAAACGGACGTGAAGCTACGCTTGCGTCGCCTTTCGTTGTATGTTTTGGTTATCGTAGGCCCAATTACCCCCCCCCCCCATTTCCCAATCTCTGAATCCTCAACAATCCTCAAATTCCTAATCTAATCCCCAAGGGTGTCCATGGGCGGTTGCTTACCATCAGATTTTCCGTCTGCTCAATTACTGGTTTATTACATAAAAAAAAAATATACAGCTTACTAATTTTAGAGAATGCCCAACTAGTTTCAAGTCATGATCAGGACTCATACACACACGGGACACGCATAGCCATTCCACGGGATACTGTCCAAAATATAAAACATGTGTCATACCTTCCACCTTCAAGAAAATTGCACACGTTGTCGTCCCGTTTGGAGACCAGCTGGAACGTCTCCTTTATAATCTGTTGCTGCATATCTTCATTCTGAAATAAATAATAAACATAGCTTTAGTAGACTAACATATATTAAAAAAAACTAGAACAACTGTCTCATTTGTCCAAAGGCTATTGACTGCTGAACAGGTTGGATTGAGTAGACTATTATTGAGTTTTCAATTTCAAGATGTTCAGTAATCAAATGCGAGTATAAAATCATAGAACTGTGTCCAGTAAAAGAAATATCTGTCATTAACATAATATCATATAACAGTCCACTGTTGGACTACAGACCTCAAAGTCAAAGTCAAAAGTCAAAATCATTTATTTCTATTTTTTTTTATCCTTACTTAATATTATAAATTGGAAAGTGAGTTTGTTTGTTTGTTTGTTCCGCTTTCCTGCCATAACTAATAAACCGATTGCTTTGAATTTTTGCAGATGTATAGTTAGAAGTCCGGATTAAATAATAGGGTACTTTTTATCCCCGAAAAGTTTGATATTCCCGAGGGAAAACAAAAGTATTGGTATAGATGGCGGTGTGTGTATTGGTATATGTCACATTGGCTTTTTATCCTTTTGTGACGCGAGCGAAGCTGCGGGTAAAAGCTAGTATAGCATAAGCCGTTAAACGAGCAGACGGATCACCTGATGGTAAGCCATCGGTGCCGCCCATGGACACTCGAAACACCAAGGCGTTACAAGTGCGTTACCGGCCTTTTGGGAATTGGGAATTTGAGGATTGTGGACAATTCGGGGGTTCGGGAGACGGGGACTAGGGAGGGAAGTAATTGGACCTCCGGTAACCTCACTCACACGACGAAACACAACGCAAGCGTTGTTTCACGTCGGTTTTCTGTGAGGCCGTGGTATCACTCCGGTCGAGCCGGCCTATTCGTGCCGAAGCATAGCTCTCCCACACTTAGACCAGGAAGGCACTTTTGAACGTCAACAACAATCATTTGGAAGTGGAGCTAGTTGTGAGGCTGTTGGAAATCATAAATGGAATGGATGGATGGATGACTCGATCACAGATGCATCATGATAGAGATTACAGTTTAAATGCTTCAGGTTTATGAGAGAAAGCTGCTGCCTTGTCCTTATCAAGTCCTTTAGTTGGCACACAACACTCATCGGAAGAGTAAAGATAAAACCTTAATTTTTTTTTTTTTTTTTTTAAACATTGCCCCACACTAGGATTTTCTCCTGTGTCGTGGGTGCGTATACAAACATATAAGTTCACATACACATGACACCCAGACCCGAAACAACAATTTGTGGATCACACAAAGTGTTGTTCCGTGCGGGAATCGAACCCGCTACACGTTGCGCGGCAGCTGGTTGCCCAGCCATCGCGACAACCATGCAATCAATGCATAATTAGTTGGGCACTAATTACTGACTCCATGCTTTATCATGCTAGGACTGCCTAGTTGGCCGAGTGGTCGCAAGTGCGACTGCCGGGCAAGGGATCTCGGGTTCGGGCAAAGTATTACTGGGCTTTAAAAAAAACCTCAGTTGTTGCACGGAGTCTGGAATTGTGCCCGGTAGGTATATGGAAATAGGCTCACCCCCTATTACATGGGACTTATAACATAAATAGTGAAAAGTGGGTATTACATTGTACAGTGGCATAATGTGTACATTAGAGGTGTACCTCTGCCTACCCCTTCAGGGATAAATGGCGTGATGTTATGTTAAAGAAGTTATTTCAGTCATAATACAACCTGTTGCCATGTCAGATATAGCTCATGGTGAACCCTGATGTTAATTAATATTACAAAATGGCAACGTTATGATAATTTATTGTTAACATTTGTATCTTGATTATCCATTTTACATATATTATATGTGTAAATATTAAACCTTGTGGTGTATGTGACACAGTTTCTTATTTTTTTATGTTTAAATAAATATGAATGATTTGCAATATTTCATTGAATAGTTTCTTATATTTGCTTATGGCTTCGTTCAACATTATGTATTATCCTATCAACGACTACTGTGCATTTTCACCAGCTCAGCTCGACTCATATTGATTGTAGCATGCTATTTTACAGCCTACCGTGAGAAATGGACTATCCAATACATAAAAGATTAATCAATTCGAAGCAGTACTTCCAGAGATTAGTGCTTTCGAGGAAAGAAATAAATTCTTCAGCTTTATTTAATACTAGCGACCCGCCCTGGCTTCGCACGGGTGCAACATGCATGTACTATACATAGGTATAAAACTTCCTTAAGAAAAAAACCGCATCAAAATCCGTTGCATAGTATTTAACATACATAGGGACAGACAGACGGTGGATAGCGACTGTTTTATACTATGTAGTGAAGTATGTAAGACTATAAAATTATGTCAATAACATCACACCTCTATTTCATTAGCCATAAGAGTTATTTTTGCAGTAATTTTATATGTTGATATATAGTACTGATATCTCTATGGCGTCACTATGTTGTGGTGGCCTGGAGGTTTAAAACACCCGCTTCACATGTATAAGAGTGCCGGTTTTAAACCTACCAACAGTAAATACCAATGTAATTTTTTCCGAGTTATATGTACTTTCTAAGATTATTGAATAATGTTTTTTTAAACTGTCAAACACCAAGCGGTCACTGGTGACCGCAACCTATTGTTCTATAATTGTGTCTATATTGACGGTACTCGACGAGTTAAATGTAAATAAATTTTTGTTTCTGAGGATTTAATTATGGATATTTATGTCTGTTCGACACACTTACAATTGAGTGGATCTAAATGAAATTCAGTAGAGATAGATAATGGTCTGGGGTAACGCCTAGGCTAGTTTTCATGCTGGCAAAGTCATCGGCAAGAGTCAGAAGTAACATAATCTTGATTCGTAAATTGTGTCCTGTTTGTGATAGACATGGCTTTTGTGTATAAATTAATGTTGTTGTAATACTGATACTAAACTGTTAAAAATATGTACTTATTATTTTTGTATAAATTTTTTTTCTTACATTTAATTACCTAATTAGTTTGTTTTTAAGTACCTAAATAATAGTATTTATATAAGATTAACGGTATGACTTAATAGTGTTAGCTGTAGTGTTATAAATAAATTTAGAAAAAAATTGCAAAAGAATATTCGTTAAAAATATAATTTTTTTATGATAATAATGTAATAATGAGTACGCAAAACCCCATCCGAGTATTTTAATTTCTCAATTTCGCGCATTATTGCGACTTACTACGACATATTTACGGTACAAAATGCATCGAATAAATACTAAAATAAATGTAAACAACCGAACGAGACGTCCTGTTATCTACTTATGTACACATATTAATAAAAAATAAGTTCATATACCCAATGATAGTCGCCCACTATATGTGACAAACGAAAAAACATAATTCATAGGTTAAGAATTTATTTTATTAGGTACGACTTGATCATCAAAATCTCCACACAGTAACCGGTTTTAAATATAAATAAGCCACGGCCATAGGCGTATAGAGCACGCATTTCTTTGTACACAAAATAAAACAAAAAAACTTTCACTTACGAAATATTGGTAGAATTTCGACAGCCTCGGCTTCCCATGATTATTGAACACTAATATTGCCTTAATCATTGTGCTACTTAACAATAAACTTAACTAATCACAATATTTTCATTTAGTTAAATATGATAATTCTATCGCAATTCAATCATGAATGAAAAAATTATCGATTCTGTTTGGATTGGATAGAATGACGTTTTCAAATTCGTTCGGAAAGGAAATCGAAACAAAACACGCGTCATTTAGCTGTCAACGTATAGATAACAAAATATTTGTCGCGTTCCAAGTTTTCATTTCTTTGTTGTTAAGCAAGTTTTTTGGGTAGTAGTCTTTTTGTTCCTTGTATATGTACGAATTTCGTGTGAAAGAAGGTGAATAAAAATTCAATTGATTCATTATGTATTAGGCTATCAAAATATATCATAATTATTCTAAAATCTTTGATCACATTAACGAAATAGCCATTGAAAGTTTTTTTTTAGCAGTCGTTGCTAACGAGACAAATAATAAAAAGAAGCATTATTACTTTAGCCATTAAAAATAATCAATACATTTATATTATCAACCTTCTATAGACAAGCTGAAGACATTTGAATTTTTTGCTATAAAATAATAACACACTTTTTGATTTTATTTATTTTCTACCTAACCTTGAAAATAGTAGTTTATAAACTTTCAAAACTGGCAACATTCAAAACTCGCGAACGCGTTGTGCTGTCTGCAGTAACCCGCGAGTGTCACAATAAAAAAAATCGCAAAAACTGAATGATTATTGTGTGAAATAAACATTTATTGTTAACTTTCAAGTTCTGTACAGTGTTAAATGTTTGATGGAAGCGTATTTGGGGGCCGCTGATGCTGCTATAACGAGATACAGGTCAGTGTAACAGAAGATGGACATAGTATATTTTGTTGTCTTTATTTGGTTGTTCAGTGGTTTCTCGCGGTGTCGTATGGCTTATTTTGAATCTCTGTATCTTTGAGAATCTTCATTGAATTGTTAGTGCGGAAGAAACAAGCGGTGGTGTGAAAAAAATAATATAAATATGGTGCGGTTAATTGCGATCGCTTGTACATAAAAGAGCGTTAATTTTATGAAAGCGTGTTCGCCGCCGTGCGTGGTATTATTGTAGAATGACTTAAAAATTAATTGTTGCTGTTACCGCTACTGATTAGAACGCCGGTAGAAGGTTAGGACGCTGAAAAATGTACGTTTTTGTTCCACCGTTAGCCGTGAACCGTTTGTTTGTAGGATATTGTGTATAACGTAAATTTAGTAAAGTATGCGGCAAATGCTAATGTATAAAGAATAATAATTAGGGTAAACATGGCTCAAATAATTACTTTTAATTGGTTTGTTGGTGATTTTAATGTTAATTACGTGGATTCTCGTCGTTATTAAGGTTTGGAATCATTTTAATTACAATGAATGTAACTCATAATGCCATATTTTTGGCAAAACGAAATACAATTAATTTTAATGCCTTTTTTTCAGGAAACTAAGGAAATGTTTATTTATTTTAACTTTTAAATCTACAAGCCTTATTGACCCAGTAACCTGTATTATACTAATTTTGAGTTCAATTCTAGACGTGGTATTTTTTTCGCAATTTTCATTATCAATACAAATTCTTGATTTTATTACAAAAGCAACCTATTTTAATTACTCTAAACTGTGATGACGAAAACCTAGAAAAATAGGGCAATCACCCCTTATAAAGAAAATACTGAATGCACACAATTTTTAACTCTAAAACTATTTCCATGAGGTATGTTGTCCCTCAACAGCAGTTAAAAAGTGCACAATTTTTTTTGCAATGTTTACCATATTGACTCTAGAATAGAGGTGAAAGTTGAATGAACTATAAATAGGTTTTATTACATTTGATTACTAAACATAATGTTTACACACCTTTATTTTAATGTATAGAGGTATAGGCAGAGGTGTATGAATACAATATATCACCCACTTTTCACCAATTATTTAGCTCCATATAATAGTGGTGAATTTATAGGACAGATTGCCATACTTTGGGCTGACATCCAGCCGTCCATACTACCACTCAGTAGCTATTTGCCCAACCCAACAACAACAATTGAACCCAAGACCCTTTGTTTGCGAAGGACACACCGGGTGTCGGAGATCGCGGGACGATCTCCGACAACTTTAGCGCGGGCATGCGGACATAGAGCATGGGTGGCTCGCTGCCCGACTAGAACCAGTACCGAGCGGACGTCGCGTTCTGCGCGCGCCCCAAAGAACCATCCAGGGACTGAAAGCGGTTAAGGTATAACGGTACGGTACCGGTATAAAATAAGTGTACCGAAATTAAAGCTATACCGGTATTTAACCTTTATGCGATAACGGTACCGAAAAACTTAGATTTGACCGTTGCGGGACGTAAAGCTAGGGGTGTGCGGGGTGTGGTGCGAGGGGCCCCACGCCTCGGAGTGGAGCAGCGGCAAGCGAAAAACGCGCGCCTGTGTACCTGTTTATTCGTGTCACTGCTGCAACTAAACTACGCTACCGTTGTATGATTTGTGTGTACCGTACCTATCTAATAACTATATAATAGTCGTGTAACTATTAACTATGAGGCGGAAACGTAAAAATGCAGTATATGGATTGAGATATAAGTACTAATGAGTACATGCGTTTTTTTCATTTTCCAAGGAAAGTAATGTTTCTACATATTTAGTAACTGGATGCTTAGCTATAATAAAATAAGTATTGTACCCATTCATTGTAAACTTTGACCGGTCAGTGAGTATAGATGCAATATAGGTACTACTTATACAACCTATACCCTAAATGTAATTGGTAGGTATGTACATAATTATCTATCTTGTAGCTATAAGATACCTAACTATAACATTTATCTTATTATTCGGTACGTACCTATCTAAACTTTCGGATATCCTAGGTAGGTGTGTACCTAAGAACATCGTAATGTTTGTTTACTTATATTACATACCTACATAAAACCAGTCATTGGGTATCGTTCGTTAGGGTAGGTACTTACCTAAACTTTGATTATTTACTAGGTATATATAATATTATGTTCATAAGATGAATAGGATTAGGTACCTACCTTGGAATTTTAACTACAATTATTATATAATACAAATTATACAAGCCCAAACACAAGGTAGTTACTATAAACCGTTGATGAGTTCCCTTAACAATTACAGTTCTTCATCATCAGACCCTCAATGATAGTCCTACTCCATCTAGGTGTAAAGTTCTCATCAATACAAATCAATCAAGCCCAAACACAAGGTAGTTAATATAAACCGTTGAGGAGTTCCTTTGACTGTCTGTCGGCTCCATCATCAGGTCGACTCCAGACCCTTTTCAAATTGTACATACATACTTACATAACTTCACGCCTGTCTCCCACGGTGGGTTTTTTCATCACCTATCATTACCTGACATTCTGTTATCACCTCATTTCTTTCTATCACCAACACTTTCGTCTTGTTCACATTTACTTTCATACCTTTCCTTTCAAATGCATCATTCATAGCAGTGATCATTTGTTGTAATTCTTGGGCCGACGAGGCAACAAGCACTGGTCGTCGGCATACAACAATGTTTTAATCACTGTGTCATTCATCCTTAATCCAGACTCTCCTACTTTCAGGTCGTTCAAACAGCTGTCCATAAATAGGTTGAACAGCCAAAGAGATGCTACACAGCCTTGCCTAACAACTCGATTAATTTTAAACCACTCTGTGTAGTCCCCATTTATTCAGACAACGGCACTCGAGTCCTTATATAAGGATTTAAGTACCCGAATCAGGTGGCTATCCACCCCATACATGGACAGAGTTGACCACAATTCATCCCTCACCACTCTGTCATAAGCCTTTTCTAGGTCTATAAAGGCACAAAATACCTTTTGGTGCTTTGATAACACTTTCTCTGAAATGAACCGTAACGAAAAGACTTGATCCGTACATTTCTTGATCCCATTCCCTTTCGAAATCCCGCTTGCACATCCCAGATTTTACGCTCAGTTACATCCATCACTCTTTCGATCAATACCTTGGCATACAACTTTCCTACTACGCTTAGGAGGCTTATACCGCGATAATTTTTGCACTCCTGCTGTGATCCTTTTCCTTTATACAGTGGCACAATTACGGCCTTGGCCCAGACTCCAGGGACACGACCGCACCGCCAATACTTATTAAAAATTAGATACACCAGGCTTGCAATTACACCTCCACCCTCTGTTAGCATTTCAGTAGTTATCCTATCACATCCCGCTGCTTTACCTACTTTCAAACTCTTAATGGCACTCACAATTTCATCCATATTTATTTCTCCCACATTAGCACTTTCATTTTCATCGTTTACTTCCTCTTCTTTCAAATCACTCCTTTCAAATAAATTCTCGAAGTATTCCTTCCACTGCTTTAAAACATCCTTACTTTCTTCAATGACACTCATTTATATCCCTTATCGTACTTACTTTCGAGTCCCCCACTTTGCCTCTGGCCTTTCTAACTAAATGCCAGAATAGTTTAGCGTTGGCTCGAAAGTTCCGCGAAAAATTCCTTTCAAACTTTTCCTTGCATTCATTTTTCTTCTTGTTAACTACCGCTTTTGCTCTCTTTTTGAGACTAATGTACTTTTCTATCATACTTTCTAGCACTCTTCTATTTGCCTTTGAGGCTAATAAGTCGAGCCATGCTTTCTTCTTTTGCTCTATCACCTCTTTTACTTCATCATCCCACCATTCATTCCTCTTGCTTCCAGTGTTATTTTTCTTGCTTACCCCACATACTTGAGTAGCTACTGCGATCACTCCATCCTTAAATTCCTTCCAAAATTCTTCTATATTCCTTTCGTAACCTTTCATTAGCTCCCTAAACCTTTCATTTAATAGTTTCCTGTACTGGTCCCTAGCTGCCTCTTCTCTCAACCGTTCAACTCTCACTCTCTCGGTTCCAAGCAACCTTACCCGTGGCCGATGTCTCCACTTCATTGCCAGTCCAGCTATTCTAGTAATTACTAGGAAGTGGTCGCTTCCGACATTCGTGCCACGGTAAACCCTTGTATCCTTCAGTTTTGTCCTCAGGCGTTCATCAACAATCACAAAATCAATCGTACTTCTTTCTGTATGCCTCTGCCATGTATACATATGTATCTTCTTGTGACCAAATGTTGTGTTGGTCACAAAAAGTTCCTTTTCTACACATATATCCAGAAGACATACACCATTCTCGTTCACTCGTTCGTCTCCAAATCGCCCTAATACTCTATCGTACCCATCGCGTGCCACTCCAACCCATCCATTAAAATCTCCAAGCATAATTATTCTTTCATTCTCTTTACATTCATTAAGAACATCTCTCAAGTTATCCCAGAATACTTCCCTCACCCCAATTGGCTTTGAGATGTCCGGGGCATAAGCACAGACGACAAATAATTTGGTCAAGCCAATTTTAAGGCGGATCTAAAGTATCCTGGGACTCACACATTTATACTCTTTCACACATTCATTCATCCTTTCAGATAGTATGACCCCCACGCCCTGGCTGCCTCTCTGGGAACTTGCAACACCAGACCAGTAAGCAATATATTGGCCATGTGTGGTAGTCATACAACCCTTTCTTTTCGTCTCGCTCATCCCTAACAAATCAATCTTTCTTGTATTCATCATCTCACATATTTCTAACATCTTGCCTTCTACGCCTCCACACACATTCAGTGTAGCAAAAAGGCAATCCTCAGCCCGCTTTCTGCCTACTCACGGGGAGACAAAACGTGACGTGTGGCAGAGCACGTCGCCGTTGGGAATTTGCCAAGATACGACGGGGCTGCCTGAGCAATCATGCTCAGGGAGGGATTCTCCAGCGGAGCTGGTA